TTCTCCACTGTGAATATTTTTGTGCATTTTGGTGTTTTGGATTTCGGGTAAAATAAACACCTCAGCACTGGAAGTCGACCTCTGCCTATTTTTCAAAAGAACCCCACCACAGATAGTGTCAGAAGTGGGATGGAAAGTCGAAAAAAAAGTATGTGCCTTCCAAAGGACTGCGGTCACAGAGGAGGACTCAGGTTGATGAGGGTGAAGAGCCAGAGCCAGGATGCACTGCTGGCACCCCGATCCCGCAGCTGAAACACTTTTAAGAGACGGTCCTGGCGCTTGCTGGTCTTTCTTGGGCGCCCTGGGGCCTTTTTGGCAACAATGACGTTGAAATGTGTTTTGGGGGATAAAGTTAATTTTTTAGGCAAATATTGACTTTGCAATTTATTGCTGTTATGCTGAACACTCTTTTTTACATTCTGGAGTATATGCAAATTGCCATTATAAAAACTGAAGCAGTAGACTTTGTAAATAGTAACATTTGAATCATTCTCAAAAGTTCTGGTCATGACTGTAGTGGTGAACGCGTCTCGTTGGTCTAGAGGTATGATTCTCGCTTTGAGTGCGAGAGGTCCCGGGTTCAAATCCCCAACAAGTCTTTCTAACCAACTGAAATAATACTGGATAACTGCAACAAAATGGTGGTTGATACCTTTTCCACAGATATATGAGGAGGATTAGACAGATAAACCATCTGACAAAGGTGAGAAAGGCTACAGGCCCAGAGGTCAGTGTCAACATTGCCAAGAATCTACAGTTGACCCGAAAATGTATGTATGGGGATTGTGCTCTCGCATTACGTCACCCTTCTCTGCTTTTTAGGCCTGGTTGGTGCTACCTGGCTCCATTACTCTGTTTCTCCCATCCAAAAGGCTTCACCCCTCTCCATTCTCCCACTGAAAGTTTAGCCAATGTCTCCCCGCCTCACAATGGACCCAGCCTATCCACACCCGAGCTAACAATGGACAGCTAATCAAGGCGAAGCTTAACTTGGAGCTTATTAATGACATTATAATTATAGTTATTAACCACAAGGTTTCGCACAAAACGTACTGAAACAGGACACAGCCAATATAGAGGGCATATTTACTGTGGTGAAACTCTAAATAAAGACTAGTGGCTGGAACTAATTAGGAGTAGAAAATAAATGTGTATCCCTTTGTACATTTACAAACTTTTTATATTGTTTACAGTTATTGTTATTTCAGAACTCTCAATCTTTTCATTTATTTCACAGAGGGTTATTAATACTAGGGGTTAAAATCATTTAATTAACTGTTTTCATTGTTGAATAATACATATTTGGTTCTTGAAAAATAGATAAGGTCTGTGAATAAATATTCATATGCTATTGATTCTGAAATATTGGTAATGATGTTCTGCATAAACTAGGGACAATTTATCACTTCAGTCAGTATCAGGAAATATACATACTTTAAAAACACTGTACTTTGAGCTGCTATTTTCCTGTGAGAAATGACAGTAAGCACTGAATCCACAATCAGTTAAATGTCTCTGGGTACAGAAGCAAATGTGCTTACTTTAATATTAGGCTGTAACCTCTGTGCTGTGTGCCAGGAGTCTTTCAGGTTTAGCACAGCCTGTTTGACCCAGTGCTGCCTGTTCCGTGTTCCTGTTTACTCTGCATTCAGTTTGCATGATGCTGCTTGATGTCCAACTCGGTTTTTGATGCCTGCTGTTGTCCAAATATAAATATTTTCAGCTTTTAAGAGGATTTAGCTTCTGTTTGAAGCTAGTGTAGCTTGTTGTTAGCACTGGTTTTTTCCCTGTTTCTGATGTAGCTTTGAATGCTATCATAGTTTCCTCTCTTCTTCTCCTAATCAGTGATCAGAAAGTGCTGCTGTGCTGTCACACCAATATTTTCCTGTGGTCTATTTTAGCTTATAAACACATAATTGTAGCTTTGATGGTGCTGTGTGCTACTTATCTGTTGCTATGCAGCTTAGCTTAGTATGGTTACTTATTTTCCTCAGTGACCTCCAATGAGTGGAGTACACTATCAGATTCCTCTGATGTTTTGGCCCTGCTTCCTCTTTGTTAACACTGCTTCCTCTTTGTTAACACTCCCCCAGGTGTAATTAACATCTGGCCCTTTCAGGTTTCTGCTGCTGTTCCTGGGGGAGGATGAACAACTGGTGGTGAAGAGGAGGTGGGAGATGTTCACTGATTGAATAATGAAAATATAGTTATTTGTGAACCAGAAGGTTTTCTGCATCTCAGAATTATTCATTAGTGTCTGTACAGACATCATCATCAGAGCATCTCATTGGTCGTCTCTGTTCCAACACACATCACCAGCACTGGCAGCAGGTTCTCTTCAGAATAAGAAATAACGTGTCTTATGGCAAAAAGTTCTTTTCTGTCTGATATAGATCTTTCTGTAGTGATACTCCTTTTAAAAGTCTACTTTTTCCTTTCATTTCTTACTATCTCTGTGGGACTCCTTGGTATAGAAACAGGGAGGAAATATAAACAGCAGGAGGATAGTAGGTGCTGAGGTTTTGCTTGTGGTCACCTTTGTGAAAGCTAAAGCTCTGATGAGAACAGCAGCTCCTCGCCGGGTGTGGTGGCGTGCTCCTGTAATCTCAGTTACTGGGAGGCTGAGGCTGGAGGACTGTTTGAGCTGCAGTGGACTATGCTGATCGGGTGTCCTCACTCAGGTGGGTATGGATATGGTGCTCCTGGGGGAGCCCGGGACCACCAGGTCTTCTAAGGAGGGGTACACCGGCCCAGGTCTGAAACGGAGCAGGTCAAAGCCCCCGTGCTGCTCAGTAGTGGGATCACACCTGAGAATAGACACTGTGGAGCAGCCTGAGTAATACAGCAGGACCCAGTCTTTTTACACTCTTTCTCACCCCAAACTGATGATTCATCCATTAGTTTCAAACCATCGTTTTCATTTGAATCATCAGATGACAGGACAGTAAAGATGGAGAGGCAGAAAAGAAAGCACTCAGGGGGACAAAAGCTGAAATGGAAAAGGGAGAGGAAAAAAACATCACAGGGATGAAAAAAGTTTTTCAAAGTGGTCGAAAATTAATAACAGTAGATGAGTTATGTCAGTGAAACTTGTAAATTTTCAGATAGCTAAATCTACTGTAGAATGTGTGGTTACTGGGGCCTTTCAACCGTGTATTCATCAGTATTTACAATATAACAGATCATGACAAGAAACATCTGCACCACATTTCTCAGCAGCTTTCATCTGCAGGTTTTTAATTGGAGGCATTTTCCAAGTGTTGTGAACATGATCACTGCTAAACTACAGAATTTCTTTCTTGTGGGATGATTTTTTATCCATTTATTTTTTTATTTCAAACTCTGATTGAATTATGTAAATAATTGAAAAAGACAACTGTGCAACTCTATGCTGGGATAGGCTTCAGCCCCCCCGCTGCCCTGTTACCAGCAGTATAGAAAATGGATGTACGGATCATTTAAATCACGATGAAAAAAAGGTATTTTGAGTGCTTTAAAGAGCTGCAATGGCCGAGTGGTTAAGGCGTTGGACTTGAAATCCAATGGGGTTTCCCCACGTAGGTTCAAACCCTACTTGCAGCGGTTTAAACTATAACATTTTAAACAGAATCAACATGATCATGAAGGAGAAAATAAAACTGGTAAATGGAAGAACAGGGGTTTGAAACTCATTACAGCAAATGTGAGCTTTTACAGGTCATTTCAATAGTAAAATACACAGCTCCTGTGATTGGCTGAATAAAGACCACACTCTGATCTTGTTTTAAAAAACAGGCAGCATGCAGCAACCAACAACTCTGAACTGAACGTATGGTAAAGATGCAACCACCAAAGATCTGGTAGAAATGATTTTAGACACTTCCAGAATGATCTCACTATATGTTGTTTGTATTTTATGTTTTTTCTTTTAAGTTTATTTGCTAATTCATCAAATTCCTTTGGGCCACACAGGTCAAGGATTTCAGCCAGAGCGAGAGAAAAGTTGAAAATATTTAATAGAAACAGATTATTCATGCTAACTGAGAACAACACACACCATATATATACACTTTAACCAACAACTTAAATAGTGGAAAAGGGGGCTGGAGTTACATAGTAAAATGAACCAAAAATAAATCTAATAGCATAACATGAAGCTTCCACCACCACCAAGCAGTGAGGTGTTAAGGTGTAGTAGCAGAGTGGCGCAGAGGGAGCGTGCTGGGCCCATAACCCAGAGGTCGATGGATCAAAACCATTCTCTGCTAGCTGTCAAGCTCTGTGATTGCCGTTGTCCTATAACACAGTAACAATGTTATTCAGCAGCTTTCATCCAAAGACCTCCCCAGAGTGATGGCTGACAGCAGGTGACTGCCCTTTACCAAACGTTGCTAATGGCACTACTGCCATACCACAACACACTCAACTCTGGTGGGACTCGAACCCACAACCTTTGAATGTCTACATCTTGATATAGTTTTCCTTAGAAGTCCAATGAGCTGTCCATTGCACCACAGAGCCATAACTTCCACATGTTTTCATCAACAGTGTAAAAATCATCTTTTTTGCTTTTCATGTACACCTATGCTTACGCATAGGTGTACATGAAAAGCAAAAAAGATGTGTACCAAACGTCGTCTTTTGCCCAGACATGTCCACTTTTTAGATCCTGTCCACAATATCATTGCCATTGTTCATCCAGTCTGTGTTACTGAGTCTAATGATGATGATAGCCATAAGACTATGAACAGTGGCTGTAATCGTAGCAGAGTAGGAACACAGGGATAGCAACTACTCCCGTTTCCATTTCAGGTGTTGTCCCCCTGAGTGATTTCTTTTCTTCCTCTCCATCTTTACCATCCTATCATGGGATGATTCAAAGGAAAAAGATCGTTTGAAACTAATGGATGATTCATCAGTTTGGGGTGAGAAAGAGTGTAAAAAGACTGGGTCCTGCTGTATTACTCAGGCTGCTCCACAGTGTCTATTCTCAGGTGTGATCCCACTACTATGCAGCACGGGGGCTTTGAGGTTAAATGACCTATACCCAGTGTTGGGTAAGTTACTTTAAAAATGTAATCCGTTACAGTTACAAGTTACCTTGTTTGAAATGTAATTGTAGTGTAACTTTTTCGATTACTTTCAAAAAGTAATGTAACTA